TCCGGGAGCGCGCCGAGGCGGTCGGGCCACTCGATGAGGCAGCAGGCGGTGGCGAGCGCGTCCGGCAGGTCGAGCATGTAGACCGGCGCGGACGCCTCGACGGCGGCGAGGCGGTAGAGGTCCATGTGGCGGACGACGAGGCCCTCCGGAAGGCCGTCGCGGTCGTCGTAGGCGTTGTCGAGCAGGTACGTCGGCGACGTCACGCGGAGCCGCGCGTCGCCGGCGGCCGCGCGGACGAAGCCCCGCGAGAAGACGGTCTTGCCCGCGCCGAGGTCGCCGGAGAGGCAGATGGTCTTGCCCGGCGCCGCGTGGGCGCCAAAGGCCGCGCCGAGCTGCTCCATGCGCGCCTCGTCGGCGACGCGGATCGTCACGGGTCCGCGCGACAGCGACAGCGCCCGCGAGCGCCGCGCCGCGAGCACCGCGGCGAGGCTGAGGGCTCGGCGCATAGGGCAGAGCTTTCTTGCCACAAGGTTCAATCGCTTTTTCTTTGTGAGTTTTGCCCGATGTTCGTCGTGTTGTAGAGACTAGACGCCATGAAGCTCGCCCTCCTGCTCCTCGCGAGCACGCTCGACGGCGCCGCGGCCGCCGTCGCCGCGGACGAGGTCGACGGCCCGAGCCTGCCCGGCTACGGCCGCCCGCTGCCCGGCAGGCACTACAGCGGCTACGTGACGACGCCCTACCCCGGGCGGCCCGGCGTCGTCGTCCACACGCACTACTACCTCGCGCTCCACGCCGACGAGGACGCGCCGCTCGTGCAGTGGCAGCAGGGCGGCCCGGGCGGCAGCTCGCTCATCGGCATGTTGACCGAAATGGGCCCGCTGACGCTCAACGACTACTCCTTCGCCGCGGGCGCCGGCGCGCCGCGCGTCTTCGACAACGCGCGCGGCTGGCAGAACGTGACCGGCGGCGCGTCGCTGCTCTTCCTCGAGCACCCGGCGCCGACGGGCTTCTCCTCCTGCGAGCCGCCGGGCGCCTGCGGCCACGACGACGACTCGCAGGCGGACCTCCACGTCGCCGTGCTCGAGGCCTTCTTCGGCGACCTCTTCCCGGAGCTGCGCGGCCGCCGCTACGTCATGGCCGGCGAGTCGTACGCGGGCGTGCTCGTGCCGACCGTCGCGCTGAAACTCCTCGCCGCGCGGACGGCGGCGAACGCGGCGACGGCGCCCTACTCGCTCGAGGGCTTCGCGCTCGGCAACTCCTGCCCCGGGAACCGCGTCTACACGTGCACGCCCTACAGCGGCTGGGCGGGCACGCAGGTCTCGCTGGACTTCCTCCACGGCCACGGCATGATCCCGGACGCGGCGAAGCGGGCCATCGACGCCGCGTGCGCGGATTGGTACGTCGCCGCGCCGCCGGGTCC